AGGAGCTCAAATTGTGCTCTATATGCTTCCCAGTGTGCCTTCCCTTCAAATTCTTGTGGCTTCCTTCTTACTGAATCACTCCTAGTACTGACATTCATATCTGGGATGTGACTTCTGATGGGACTAAATATGTCTGCATTAGGGTTTAGCTGCAGGGTCTGGAAGGGGCTTGTCATTGTCATGACTTCTGCTGTCATAACAATATGTTTCTGCATCTTTTGGCTGTTTGACTAATTATGTTTTTGATCAAGTAAGTATTTTGTAAGGTTATTTGGTGCTGGTAGGAAATTTATCATGGAAAGGTTTATAATTCTTCTTTACTAAAAAAACTAACAATTTAGAAAGTAGCTTTTAAGAATAAATCATTATTATTAATAGTATTAAACCTCTTGCCATGAGCATCCTTTACTGCACATGTTACGAGGTGTTTAGTGTGTTACATTCAAAATTTACTTAAACTACTTTTTGTTTGTTATACCAATTAGTATAAAATTGTAGCTAATAATCCATGTTTTAATACTATATAAGTTTTAAATTCTTAATTTGATAAGGCAATATTTTAAAAAATCCTGAATTTCCCTTAGTGTGAGAAGTGACTTTTTTTATCTAGGCATCCCCTCTTTTCTAATTTATTCATCACCCCTACAATAAGTATGAAATTTAATGTAAATTACTCACTACAATATGCTCAGACAAACCATAATTTTCCTAGCCTTTAATCTTGTTTGGTTACAGGGCCATCAAATAGAAAATCAGACCCATTTTGCCACACCTACCAGTCACATCCTCTTTTTCAGGTTTTGTTAATAGGTCTCTCTTACATTTAATTGCTATATTACTTATAATAAATAGAAAGCTAAGGTTTTCATCTATCAAATGACGTATTATATTACATTGTTTTCTGAATAGAAAATTTTCAATTTCATTTCATTACAAGTTTCATTCTCATGGGAAACATATTGACTAGCTTGGATGAATTTGTAACAGCTCTTGTCACATATTTAGAAAGCAAGAAAAATTGGGATAGATATGGAACATTTTTTGCTTTTGGTATGTTATTATTCTATGTTATTTTGTACATTATTTAATTAAATAAAAATCAATCAGTGCACTACTACCATTAGTATAAAAGAGATAAGGTTAAGTGTCATCAACAGTTGACAGCAAAAAAAAAGGTCCAAGTTAGTACTTTATTTTTTGTTTTTCATGTGTATTCTTTATGTATTATTATAAAAGTAACTACAATGTAAAAATAAGAATTTCTTTAGGTTAGTTTAGGTAAAATAAATAATAATAATAGTATAATAAAAAAATTTTCACAAGGCACACATACTATCAGCACAGAGTAACTCATGGGTAATGTAATTTGAAACTGTAATGTGAGCCCCATGTTCCCCCAGTGATTTACAGCTTATAATGGTCTTACTAGTAGTTAGACATGGTTAAAAGGGCAATAAAATATAAGTATAAATAGATATATACTGTTATGGGTTTACAACTACTTAGGATATACAAATGTAGTTTCATGTTACAACTTGTCATTCTAGAAAGAAAGAAAGGGTAATTTGGATCTCTTTTTTTTGTTGTGTGTGTGTGTGTGTGGTGGTGGTGGTTATAAAGTTATACCAGCCTTGTATAGAGTTAAAGTGGTAAAAATAGAGAAAATACAAAATTTTACTGAAAAAACTTTTGAAATGTATTTAGGAGGTTTTAGAGATTACGTAAATGAAACTTGAGATTTTTGAGATGAAATATTTTTGATCTTAACATGAAAAATCACTTTGCACATGGACTATTAAAAAAAAAGACTCACTATTTAGTTTGTTAAAAATACATCACTTAAAAAATCTGATTTTTTATATATAAAAGACTTATGTTTACTGAAAGACTGCCAAATTTTGTACACACCCTATTAAAAAACTCGCTATATTCGTAGACAAATTTTTTTTTAGTTTGTTAAAAATACTTCACTAAAAAAATCAGATTTTTTGTAT